CAGCCGGGTGCGCCTCGGGCGGCGGCCGCAGCAGCGGAGCCCCGGGCGGCGCTGGGCGGGCGGCGGCGCTCACCGCCGAGCCATCTCCGAAGCGCGGGCGGAGCGGGAGAGCTGGGGGTGTGGACCCGAGCGCCGCGGCCCGGCCGCCGCACCCCGAGGTCCCGGTTGCGCCTGGCCCGTGGCACGAGAGGACCCCACGGACGCAGAACCCCGCGCCCGCCCGCCAGTCCCCACCGCTTAATTACCTTCGCCTCTGGCCCCCCGGCGGGGGGGCAGCCTCCTGCACGTCGCCCCCTTTCGGAGCCCTAGCCGAGAGGGGGAATTCCTTCCCGTTGACGTCCTCTTCCGAAATGCAAAAGATCAGTGACTTTGACAGGTAGATGAGGGGGAGGGAATAGGGGTGGGCGGAGAGGAAGGAAAGATGAGAAAGGTGCCTCTCCCTCCAAAAATATAGTGATATTAATAATGAAATCTCAGCCTTCGGGAGGTCTTGCCAGCCCAGTCCTCTGCTTGCCGGGTCTCCTCCGCGCCTCCTCGCGCCACTGCCTCTGCCACTTCTCGCCTTAAACTTTACTGAGGGTTGTTTTTTTTTTTTCTTTTTTTTCCCCTATTTTTTTTTTTTAAGCCGCAGGACGACTTCCTGATTTCCCGGGGATCAGAACCAGCGGTCCGGTGGTTCTACTCCGCTTAGCACAGCTTTCATTTTATTTCAGACGAAGACGTTGAGCTTACTCAGAAGGGACATAAATCAGGACAATTAGCATTGGCGCCAAGAAGATCCTCTAGTACCAATTTCGTCCGGGCTTCCTTCGCGCATTCCTCCACTCAAGTCAGAAATGTCACTGCACATAGCGTTGATGGCTGCGAGACGCGACGCACCCAAAGTCCATTTGATGAAATATACATGGCCCGCGATGCTTCTGGATTGCGGTTCCCGGGCTCCCCGCCCCCGCCCGCGGCGCCTGGCCGGACCCTGCTCCCAGCCGGCAGCGAGCTCTCTGCAAACTTAGGGGCGCGAACAAATTACAGAGTGAGCGCAAGGGCCGGAGAAGAGAAAGAAAGAAGCAAGCCGGGGGAAACTGCAGCCCTTGGAGGGGTGGCAAGTACGTTTCACTTAAAAGCAGATCTTCTGCAACTGCCAGCAAGTGGAAGGATTGCAAACCTTATACTACCTCGAGACCTGGGCGCTCCGAGCGGTCCTAACTCCGTCCCGCTCGCTCTAATCGCCGCTGCCGCCGCTCCAGGACCTCAGAGTACTGAGGCTCATCGACCACCCTTCACCTCGCCCACCCGAGCGCGGTTTCCAGTATCTCTTCACGTACCTTCCACTCATGCCCGCGCCCGTCCCATCCCTCACTCCTGGCTCTTCTCTAGAAAACCTTCCCTAAGCACACCCCTCACTCCTAGCTGTGATCTCAGTGGTGGTTTTCAACCAACAATTCCCTTGCCCAGCCAGCGGCCCCTGCAGCGCAAGCCTCGAACTTCCTTATTTAGAAATTCATTCTTCGGAAAGTTGAAGAGAGAGCTGTGCTTTTCTGGCCTCATCAACACCCTGAAGAGAAAGACAAATGTCCCCGCCCCAAGCCTTCTTTCCCTCGCCAGTGGGGGCTCAAACTTACCCGGGATCTCATTCATAGCCACACACTAACGTCAAGGGGAGGGTGGGGATCCAGACTTACTTACATAGGGAGAGACTTCAATTAAAAAGACTATTGCAACGGTGGGGGGTGGGGCGGAGAGCTCTGGTCTCACAAGTCTTAAGCATCTCAAAATCAAACAGAAACGGGCCTTTGTATGGTAAGGGGCTTAAGCAGCAGGGAAAGCTGGTCAGAAGAGAGGGAGTAAACCCATGATGAAACCAGCTGGTTTGATAAGAAATGTGTCTTCGTGGTACACCGATTTGGAGGATAAACAGAAAAAAAGCATGTTCTGCATTTTAGTGTTTGCTTCAGATTTGGGCCAAGTTGAGAGTGCAGTGGGCCAGAGAGAAGTCAAACTCGTTTGTTAAAGGCAAAGCTAGAGGATAAGAAATGGCAGTTGTGAACACTTGGTCACTGGCTTCATGCCTCACAATGGAAGCACGGAGCTGAGGGCAGAGAGTGGTGACTAGGGCTGGTGTGGCAGAGGGTACCCAGGGGAGAAGCTTGTTGAATTGAGCCTGTAACGGATCCTTCTTGGCCCTGAGCAGCCAGAAAGGAGGTGGGAATTCCAAGCACCCTTACCCTAGACCCTCTAACACCTGAGAGGCCATCCTGAGAGGTGAATCCTCTGTCAGCTGACTCCCTCCAGTTCAGGAATCTGTGACTTCCTTGCTTCCGTCCTTCCCACTTCCACGTTCAAGCACTGACAGTGAAGAAAGGAGTTATCTGCAGGGGTAAACTCCTCAAAGGCATTCTTAGACAGTGACCCTTTGTCAACTCTCTACCCAAGTTTCTCCAGAGTCTACATATACTGAGTATAGGGAGATGCCCCTCACCACCTAACCCTCCCTCGCGGGCTGCCAGAGCCTCGTCCCTTCTGAGAAGCCAGTACAACCCCAGAAGCAACACCCACAGCGGCTCTCTAAGTTCTCAGTGGCCTTCTGGCCTGAGCGCTGACATACACACAGCTCTCGTCCTTACCTTTCCCTCCTGACCTTGCCTCTCAAGCCAAGAAAATTCCTTCTGAGTTTCCATTCTCAGCTTTGTCTGATCATTTTAGGTGTTTCTCCAGTAAAAAATAAACAAAAGAAATCTGTCCAGAGATTAGGAGATTCTCTTCTAGGGTATACCAAGATCTTTGTCATATTGGCTCCCAACCTGAAGAAAGTTCCCTTTTCAGCTGTCAAAGACTCAGAACTAACCTCCTTCCCCCTCTTCCTATACTATACCTTCCCACATTTCCAGGGTCTCTTTGACTTGGAGGAAGACATCAGTCCCAAATAAACCCTATATGTGGATGGGGGACCCTCTCCAGGTAAGTAGCTTATCCTACTCCAAGAGTAATAGTCTTCCAGAGGTGAATTTTTCTCTCAAACATCTGCTCTGATCTTCTCAGATTCAGTAAACCACCAACTAAACAAGTCAAATAAACTCTGAGCAGGAAATTTGAATCCCCAAGGAGACTTTTCAGTATTAAAACCCTTTCTCCTCCAGATCATGATCCCTCCTCTAGTGGGGATTGGAGGGAAGGAAATTTTCTCCAAAAAAAAAAAAAAANTTTGGGTGGATTTGAAATACCTTCTTAAAATGAGATACTGTGAATTTACATTTTAAACCAGCTTTCCTGAACATATCTTTGCACATTTATTTACATAACTAAATAGAGAGCAATCAGAAATTTACGTAGCTATTTTCTTGGCATCTTTTCTCTAGCATCCTTTGCTTCTTCCACTTGTATGTGTGTATGCATGCATATATATACACATGTATGTTTATATACATTAAATATATATGTATTTAATTTTCTTTGAAAGAATGATTTTTTTTAACTTAAACTTTCACCTCTTCTTTCTGTCCCTTCAGAGGAGAATTATTTGATCTTTCAGTTCTCTGATTTCAGGTCTCTGGCTGGTTTCCATGCATTCCTCATTCTTCTTCAACTTAGATTTTCATCTATTTGTAATTCTGTTAGGTCTCTATTGTACATTTTTCTAGGTTATTAAAACCTTCTTAAAAACCTTCTTTTTAGAAATTTAACAGGGTTGTTTAAATACTTGCAGGGTCAACATGACAAACTGGTAGTGGTAGCATAATTGCAATGTTGTTGTTCATTGTTCAGTCATTCAGTTATGTCCAACTCTTTGTAACCCCATGGACTGCAGCACACCAGGCTTCCATGTCCTTCACTGTCTCCCAGAGTTTGCTCAAACTCATGTCCATTGAGTTGGTGATGCCATCCAACCGTCTCATTCTGTTTCCCCCTTCTCCTTCTGCCCTCAGTCTTTCCCAGCATCAGGGTCTTTTCCAATGAGTTGGCTCTTCACCTCAGGTGACCAAACTATTGAAGCTTTTTGCAATGTATCTGGTCCAAAAAGATATGTGTCTTTCTATAAATACTGTAAAGTACTCGACATAAAGTAGGTACAAGAGAAATGTTTCTTGCAGAGGCAAATAATTTTTTTTCCATTCCCAGAACTCAGTAATAGTCTTCTTGGTAACAAGGATTAATTCCTACTATATTAAGCTAAAATTTAGATGTCTGAAATATCCACATAAGGAATGAGTCCTATTTGGCCAACTGTGTACTATGTGATAGATGCTTTCTTAACTGCTGCTTGTGTCCCAGTAGAAACATCCTTCCTGGTAGTTATAAAACCTTTAGCTCTTTCTTGTCTCCACTCTGCGCTCAGGGACCTGCTTTATTACAGAGTCATTAGCAGTGTAGTTTTGACAGGTTTTGAAGTTCCTTACCTAACATGATTTTTTACTGCTTAAATATTTTGACATTTAAACCTCTCATAAGTCCTAAGCATCTGGTATGGGCTCCATCATTGACTATATTGGCATTTTCCTGCTTGTTATAGGTGTATCAAGTACACTTTTCTGGAAATTTTAAACTTACAAGCCCAAATTATCCAAATATCAAGCATACCCAACACTGGTAGACTAATAACCTCATTTTGTTCTTCTGAAGACTGATAGCAGACCAAAGGACATATGGTTTTAATATAAGAAAATACTTATATTGACTGTGTTACTGATTCTAGAACATGAAGAATAGCAGATTGTACTAGCCGTTGATGGTCAATGACTGATACAAGGAACAGGACCTTTAGCATCCATGTGTTTTCTAATATATGGCACTGTGTAAAATAGTTTGAAAATAATAAAAATAGCTTCTCTGATTAAAGTAAAATGAAAAAATTTAACAAAATATGAGTTTGGGTATTTTTTCTGAAAGAAAGCATACTAACTTAAATTTTGTCAAATAAACATTTCATATATCTTTTCTATTCCAACTTTATGACCTGTGAATAGTGTTCTTAATTTAACCTGTCTCACCCATAAGAAGTCAATAGAAATCACCTCTTAATTTTTATGCTTTTAGAGCACCATGACACTAGGTGTTTTTACCCAACCAGTAAAATCTGTTAAAATCATGACACCCTGGGTCTTTTTTGACTATTTATTTTTTTCTTTTTGAGACTCAAAACACATAGTCAATATTTGTTTAACAGTTTATCTGTTTTTCCAAGCTACATAAAGAGGCATCTGAGCAATGGGTTTGAATAATGTTGTGGTCTGAACAAACTCAGTAAGCCTCCATGAACTTGTATTGTGTGTGTGTGTGTGTGTGTGTGTGTGTGTGTGTGCATGCTTAGTTTGTCTAAGATCATTAACTTATTTTTTGAGAAAAGGAGATCCCACAATTAATCTAGTGTGTTGGCTGGAAAGGTTCACTCTAAAAAGTTAACAGCTGTGTCAATTTCCTGTGTAATTTTCATGTTTTCAGTTATCCTCCAAGAACAAAAGCAGCAGCCTTTCCAAAGTGAGAAGAAAAATATATGAAGGAAGACTGTGTGTATGCATGCTGAGTCGCTTCAGTCATGTCCAACTCTTCACAACCCCATGGACTGTAGCCTGCCAGGCTCCTCTGTCCATGGGATTCTCCAGGCAAGAATACTGAAGTGGGTTGCCATGTCCTCCTCCAGGGGATCTTTCCTACCCAGGGATCCAAACCTTATGTCTCTTGCATTGACAGGTGTGTTCTTTACCACTAGCGCCACCTGGGAAGCCCAGACTGAGTAATACCCCTTGCCTAATTTAAAGATCTTTCCATGAAAGATCTATCTGGTGGTTCTTTCTTTAAATTTAATAAATGTTAATGGAAGCCACACAACCTGCTAGGTGCTAGAGGAAGTATAAAACTCTCACACTATCTCTCATGCTTTACTATTATGTGGGATAAGAGAGTTAGACTAGCTGTAATGTGCATCTTTAATAT